ATAAACACAATATTTAAAAATACTTTAAAAGTAAATTTAAATGAATGAAAAAGATCATTTTAGAGTGAAATGGAATGCTTAGATTGAGTCATGCATGTTAAGCATGCGGTGCACCAAATGCAAACTGTAACATCTTGATTTTTAAATTTTTAGATTAAATGAATTAATCAAGGATCATTAGGTAAAGTTGAATGGCTTAATAATAGTTAGTGATGGTTAACTGACTTATTAGTTATGGATACAGGCTTTGGATAGGGCCTAAAATTATTTTTAGGCCACTTAGGCCTAAATTTGAGGAGCATTTTATATTTGCCCTTTTCTATGCCATCTGTCATAGCAAAGACTTCATGCACCATGATAGATGGTTAAAATTTTTAAAACATCAGTTTGTCATTGCAAACTACAAAAAAGAAGAAAGAAAGTGAGAACTAAGAGGGCGTGACGGGAGATGACTTTGGTTTGTAACTGTAAGGGCTTAAGTCTAAGGGTGATTTGGAGAAAGTTTGAGCATTAATTCCTTTAGGTATATATGCCTTTCCCATTCCTCATTCTTCCCTTTTCACTTTTTTTAGATGATTTTTGTGGTTGGAGATTAGGATTTTGGGACCTAAGGCTATGGGTCTGAACTCATTAGTTCTAATGAAACTAATAGGAGTTACTTAACTGTTTAAACATAGTTTAGAAGATTTAACAAGGTTATGTTCTTAGGTCTAGGGTTTTAGATGAACCCTAATCACTTTAAGTAAGATTTTGAGTTGTTAGGAGTTGTATTTGATGTTATTTAAGCTTATAAGATCTAAATAGAGTTGATGACAGTTAATAAACTCATTGATTGTGATATTGAGCTTGTGGTTGGGAATTCGGATTGTTAAAATGTGAGTTTAGGAGTTGAAATTGGTGTTTAAATGGATTACTAGTAATGATGGTTTTTTGTAATTATAGATTAACATTTTCATGCATTGTTTAAGCTCGATCTACAAGCACGTGAAGCAAATTGTGTGGGCTTAAGGATTTAAGGTAACTGGAGGATCTCTAACTTGTGCTATTGCTTATTAGATTAGTTATAGTCGTTTTAGAACTTGTAAAATATGCTTTCAAACTTAATTTAATGCTTAATAATTTTAGAAAAAGATATATGCAAGTATGGCCTTTTACTAATAAATGGAACAAACTCATTTTCTTTATATGTTTTCTATATCATCGAATAAGAAATATATGGTTTTGATTGATCTTGTGATGCTAAGATGTTGTATGCATACTTGGGGTAATTTCATTATGTTATGAGTTATGAAAATGCATGATGTTGCCATCTGCATAGTTGTATGATCATATGCTGGGCGAAAGGATGCCTTAGGAGGAGTTAGTATTCACTTTCCATGTAAAATCCTATTACGAACACCATGGGTAGATATAATGTTTTCGTTTTTGGGTCAGGTCTTCTTGAATCTCACTTAGCAATAGGTATAAGTGTAGGTTGCCTAGACCCCATCCTTAACCTTACCCTAGATTGGGTAATTAGTGGGACATACGACACCTTAATGGATTTAAGGATTAAAGGAAACTGTGATTTGAGATTGAGCAAAGCACTGTACATTTAGCTAGGTGACTCCTCATGATTAGTGAGCTTAAGTAGTCCATTCATACAAACTCAATCCTATTAAATTATCAACCTATAAATTTAATTGATAATATCTGGAGGAGGTAAGGAGTATTGATTATGCATTTATGATATCATGGGATGTGATATTGTGCTATATATCTCTAGTATGGTTTCTTTTAAAAGATCACTTTGCATGCCTTGATTGATTTGACTTACGTGTGCGTGATTTAGAGTTTTTCTTGGTTATTGAGTATACTTGTACTCACTCTTATTTAGCATTTTATAAGTACTGGCTCCAGTAAAGACAAGGGGAACTCACCCCTATTTAACATTTTACAAACACTGGCTCTAGAAAGACAAGGTGAAAGTGTCAGAGGCTAAAGAATTCACGATTCCTATTGTATAGCCTCCTTCTTTTGTTGTTTCTTTATGTGTAATTTAATGATGATGCAATTGCCACCTTAGGATGATTATATTTTGAGTTACTTACACCAAAGCATATTATATATGATTAATGTTGTATTTAGTGCTCTAGCTCTGTGTATGTGCTATAATGAGTTTGAAACAAGGCCTAAATGCCAATGCAAGTAGGTTTATTGTTGATCTCATTAATCCGTTTGAATTATGTAAATGAATGATATTATGTGGTTATGATATATTTGCCTCCCCTATGGTTTTTATTAAATTAGGGTTGAGTAGTGAAATGTTATATGTGTGATATTTACATGTTATTGTGCACTATATAGGTAGTCCTAAGTTTTGGGGACTTGGTTTAGGTGAATGTTTAGGTTCTTGGCACTTGGTTTAGGTTTAGACACCTGGAAGGATTTAAGTGTGAAAAAGGAGTAGTGTTGGTTTTGAGTGTCCAACTTTTTAATGTATTATGAATTTGAAATGAAACTAGTGCCATTAGCTAATATTTGGAATAAACTCTCTGTAGACACATAAATCACCTCCATTAGATGTCGGATGAAGGCTCCAGATGCGTTAGAAGTTCACCATAGTATTGTGCATTTGACAGCAAATGTTGTCAACTATGTGTAATACATCATAGTGCATAGTGCTTGCATCACAATGCAAGACATAAAGAGGGTAAGTTGTGACGCAGGCATGATATGCCATGGTGAATTCCTCTAATTATTGGGAAATGACATTTTTGACCTTTTTGACTATTGTTTTCCAATCTAATATGTATCCCATGCTTTCAAATGTTTTGAAAACTTTAATTTGAGATTTAATGGGCCTTGTTATGCTTGTGAATTATTTTCTAAGTTGGGTTCCTGATGATTTAGTGGGCCTTGTTATGATCCTTGTGAATTATCATCTTTTAAACAAAGAGAGAATTAAAATGATAATGTAGCATAATGATTAGATATGTAAAGGCTTTTTTCAAAGTTCATAATTTTGTTTTGATAAAATAAGTTCGTAAAGTATCATTATTGTATTTTATTAGTATGCATAATCTTATTTTAAATTGCCTTATAACTTGAAATGGAGGGAGTATCATTTGATTAGACGTTTCAATAAATTTTTATGCATATTATGTTTTTATTGAAAGATTCAATAAGATATCATACATTATATCAAAATTAATTTTATAATTTAGAACACACGAGCGAATGTCAAGAAACACGTCGTACACCTCCTTTTTATTTAGACATCCTGACATAAAACAATTAAAACATTGATTTTTTTATTTAGTTATTCAAGTATAACTCTAGATTTAAATTCTAAGGTTTTGAATGTTGTAGCTATTATTTTCCTGTTGTCTTTGCGGGCTGTGGAATATCAAGAAATGTAGGATTTCAAATTGAGTTTTACCATTAGAGACGTTATAAGCCCATAGCTTTGAACATTGAACAGTTAGAAATATACCTTATCCTTCTATCAAATCATCGCTTTCAAGTTGACATTCATTCCCTGAATAATTTGGTGCTTTCCATGCTCATAAATGACGTCAAAGAGACCGTATGCTCTGGATATGCTTGCACACTCATGTATACAAGCATGCTCAATCACTAACGTTAAAATGGTTAAGCAAACAGTCCTGGAATTTATACTCAATCAGGAAAGTTTTAAACTCATCAAACTAGAAAAATCAAGCCACACACCGGATTAGGTCTGACGAAATAATAATCAAGAAACTGGTCTTTCATATATATCATGAAAAACTAAAATTCAAATCTCTATCAAAAAAATATACTCACATTTAATATTTTTGACTTTACCTCCAGTAAGATTATCTCTAATACAAATATATTTGTGCTCAATGAAAAAAGAAAAAGGAAAATCCAACCCTTAATTACCAAATTGGGATTACCAGAACATATATTGTTTCACACTTCAATTCTCTAAGTTGTCTAGATCTTTAATTTTTACAATCACTCGGAAGGGGAATGGACGCAAACCCTGTCAAATATTTTAAAATAGATGAAATACTTACTATATTGAAAGTTTGATAACTTTAAACAAAGGGCAATTCCTAGATATTATTCTGTGGAGTTTTTTAAAAATGAGCCACCATATAACTTGCATGCTATTAAATTTTATATTGTACATTATTGATTTGATTCTCTCAAGTTACTGTAAGAAATTCTTGACGATTCTTTTAACTTCACCGTTACCGAACACTCATCTTATCAGTACTATTTTTTAATTTTTCTGGGATTCCGTGAATCTGATGCGAGACCAATGGAGTGGAACATGGATATAGTGGATAGGCTCTATCTTTCTCCGGATGGTGAGCCACGCAACCCCCAGAAACATTCAGCAGAACGTGCTACAGAAGAAGGATATATATATATATATAGCAAGTTCATCAATTATATTGAAAGATCATCAGTTATCTCTCAATTAATAAATGTTAAACCACATTAGCGTCTTGATAGATTCTCTTTGTTTTTAATTTGTTCTGGCTCCTTTCCCTTTTGATGAGATATGGTGGGCAGCTCAATCTACGAGAGCGAGATACATGCAGCATGCAATTGATAGACTTGGACTTTGTCTATATATTAACGTTCTCTCCCTCTTCTTCTAGGCCTCTGACTTTGGCCATCTATAATTATCATCTATTGGATATTTTGTTGGATTCCACTCGATCTCACTGGCAGATTTTGTTGACAACGCAGCATTGAAACATTAACACATTCATGTGACATAGAATAATCTATGTGTGCTTTGATGCTTCGAACTTGGCCGAAAGAGAGTTTTTTTTTTTTGGTTCCCGTCCCTAAAACAATAATATATACGTTGTTCGATATTCCAGCATTGATCTCTCCCTAAGCTACTGCCACCCTCAAGAACATTTCAATTATCATGCACAGTAAATTAAAGTCTGATGCTAAAGCATCAACTTGCTCATTCCTGGGGTCACCGTGGTCTAATTCTCCAAGAGCATTCCCCATTTCCCCTTATCCAAACAAACATCCGAAAGCTACTTTTCTTCTCTCTTCCTCACTCCGATCTATTTAACCATTGCTTAATGCTATCCACTTCCTCACCAACCCCTATAAATAGGGGACATACCCATGTTGAAGTCCAACACATCGAACACTCATCACCAATCGAGTTTCATTCTGTGGAAATCTATAGAAACCAGCTGAAGCATATAGCTGAGCAGGTATGGATAGAGTGAAGGATTTGGCATCAAAGAAAGCGGCAGTGATATTCACCAAGAGCTCGTGTTACATGAGCCACAGCATTAAGCAGCTGTTTTACGAGCTAGGGGCAAGCCCTGCAGTGCATGAGCTTGACAAACACGCGTATGGGAGGGAAATGGAACTCGCTTTGAGGGCTCTGGGTTGTAACCCTTCAGTCCCTGCCGTGTTCATAGGTGGCAAGTTCGTGGGTTCTGCAAGAGATATCATTTCCCTTCATGTTGATGGCACTCTCAAGCAAATGCTCATTGATGCTAAGGCCATATGGTTTTAGCTACCTACTTACACTCCTAACAACTATACATAAAGAAGCAGCTTCACGTATATACTACTACTACTGATATATATATATATATATGGGTCTGCAAGTATAAATATATATCCACGGAGCTGTCTCGTATGCATGTTCTAGAGTCAATGTTTTACTAGAGACACTCTTGCTTTTTCTCGAGTGTCCCGTTTTGATTGTATGCAACGACAAGATACAAACCGATACAAAACACTGCTTTTTCTTTTTTGGTATATTTTTCGATCTGCAAGTCTGACTGTGAGGGATGGCTGCTCTTTTAGTTAATTACTAACTTGATCTCGTGCTGAAGAAGAGAGCTTTGAATGATGACATGGTTGATAACGCAACTTTGAAGTCATAAGATTCATCTTTAGTTAGTTATACTAAGACCTTTAATTAATTTAAAAACATGCTTCATTGACACACTTTTATCCGACTTCATTGTTCAATATGCCCGCGCAATTATTAGAGAACAACTAGTCCTAATAAAATCACCATTGATGATCATAATTATAAAGGAATCTTACTGCGTCATCAAAATCTATCCAATCTACGGAAAACATAAAAAAATATTATTATTTAAGTGAGTAGTAAAGAGAAAAGTAGATGCGGTTCTTCATTTCTTAATTGGGGCATCTGGTGCAAGGGATGGTCTTGTAATTCGTAGCAAGAAAAGAGGTGATGCTAGAACTTTTTGTTGTGTCTCCATGCTTATTCTTCCACACCCATGAAACCCAATGACACGTTTCCTGTTTGACTTCTTTACCTTTTACACTACATATAGATATACAGGGCATCGTTTTATAAATTAAATTATCGAATACCGAAAGCGTGGATTATTATTAAGGATGGGGAAAACAATATTAGCTTAGATTAAAATGGGACTTAAAAGGAAGTTATTAAAGCTATAAACTCAATGTTTTACAGGTTTCAGTGAAAAAACAATATAAATTCCACTTATACATTTCTTTTTACAGAAGTATGAAAGAAAGGGCCAATGATAATTATACTGCTACGTGAGATTCTTCGAACTCTAGCAACTACGTGCAGGTAAGACATGCACAGCCATGGATGATCCTTGTGCATATACTTTATATATCTTGCATGCAGTCACACAGAATAGTGTATACATAACAAGCAAGGATAGTGAGAATCATATATGTTCGAAATAATATTTGTATGTTCACACATAGGCACACACTCACACACACATATATATATCTGTCTGAAACAATATCTAACCCGTTTTTCTTCCATCGAAGTATATATCAGTATTTCAGCGTGTTGCAAGAAATATTCATGTACAAGATGATCAGGGATAGGGATAAAAATGCTTCAATTCTTTAATTTGAGGGATCGTGTTAGTAAGGGAATTCATTCCCCTCCTGTTCTAAAGCAAAAAGGACTTTGTAGTCTCTAACCCTTCACTTTCACCAAAATAGAAACAAGAGACCTTCCACTACAAGTCATACACGTGTAAGGTCATCTACAGTAATTAAGTGCGAGAACACTGTATGTTTTGCTGCATCATCTTCACAAGAGTCCCACAACATGCTTGTGGGAGAGAAGGAATCAGGCAAGTTGTTGAGTGCAACACCAACGAATCACGCACGCGCACTGTAAATTAAACATCTCAGTCACAATCGTTTCATATTCAAAGCAGTTGATATATAGTGAGAATCTGTTTGACCAACTGGCCTAGAATTTCCACTTTCCTTGCCTTTTCAGAGAGAGCCAGCATCGGTGAATACGCAGTACACGTCTCCCATAAAGTATAACTCTGATTAACCAACTCGCTAATAGGAAGATACTGTTTTGATCAGTCCGCGTAAACAAAATCTTCATACCCTACGTCTACCAATCTGTGTAAATCAAGCGTCTCTTCCAAATTCCAACTCGTCGAGTCAATCAGATTCATATCAGTGCTGATCTCAAAGGGTCTGCTTTATACTCGGGCATCTCAATCACAAAAGCTCAGCTTTTCATATGTTCTCCATTCAAAGATCCTTAAGTTGTCCCTATAAATAGTCTTAGACCCCAAAGCTCCTCCTTATAGGCATTCAAATCCTGACCCAACTCAACCAGTGACCGATCGACTTCGGCTTAGATCGATTCGGTCTGGTGGTTTTGGGTTTGTAACAAGTCCAAAGATACATAACCAGCTCTCATCAACGTACACACCTAGGTTTTCCATTTTCGAGGTTAAAATTCTTCGGGGAAACGGAATATCATTGTAAAAATATGGAGAAGGTGACGAGGTTGGCGTCGGAAAAAGACGTGGTGATATTCAGCAAGAGCTCATGCTGCTTGTGCTACTCAGTGAAAGTTCTGTTTCAGGAACTGATGGTGAAGCCTAAGGTGTACGAAATTGACCAAGACCCTGAAGGCAGAGAAATGGAGAAAGCTCTCGTGAGTCTGGGCTGTTCCACTCCTGTGCCTGCCGTTTTCATCGGAGGCATTTTCGTGGGCTCCACTAACCAAGTCATGTCCCTCCACCTCAGCGGAACCCTCACCCAGCTCATTCAACCTTATAAATTTGCCTGACCCTTCACAGAAGATCACTACGTTCACACAACCCACAAATATATATATATATATATATATATTCCTCCTACCAAAATAAACTCTGTTGAAAAGTCTGTGTAGTGATCGACGTTCTAGGTATGATTATTATATATGGATGAAGTGGTCTGTAACATTTTAGCTATACTTTAATCTCTTGGTATATTCCATATGGAGTTTCTTTTGTAAATCCTGAAATTGCACCATTTATATGCATGTCAAGTGGCCCCACCACTTCGTTCATGACTTTCCTTTTCTGCTGTGAATTAATTAAATCTGCTTTTTGCAAGTTACTTGGCAGTACTTGGTGCGAGCTTCAAATTAATAATGGCATGTAAATATCCGCAAAGCAAATATTTATGCACAACCAACGAAAAGAATGAGCAGTATGAAAAACCCATGATGATCATGACAAATCAAGAGAATTGAATTAGTTTATCTTAATTCTATAATTTGAGTTCTAAATATGCAGTCATATTTAATAAATAAGTCAAAGATATATCCATGAAACCACTGTTAGTAACTACAGTCACACATAATAGCTGTTTGGATTAGTCTAGGTGTGATGGTAATACCCATGTTTCCCATGATACTAGAATAAAAAAAAAAAAAGAAAGACAGCAAGAGAAACATGCAGCCCATGAATTTAGAAATTGAAGTGTGTTATGAGTATAAACTCAAAAGGAGAATCCATCCAAAAGATTAGTTTATTAAAACCCTTCATGAGTAGGTAGCTAACCAATTCAAAAAAAACTAGTCTATTAAAAAGAAAACCCTTTCATACTTGTAAATCTCGTTTTAATTTGAGAAGCTTTTCAATGGAAGATCCATTACAAAGTGTGAAAATCTTCAGTGCATTGACATTTTGTTAATTCCCCAAGGCCAAAACAACTAAAAACAATGTTTCACAAAGCATACCTTGCCCATCAGGGGTGAAAAAAGAGGGAGACCGGCAAGGGTCATGACTCTCCTAACTTTTTAATTTTTTCTTAATAAAATATAGTGATTATATATTTTTGACCTCCTAAGTTGGCACATTATAGACATTTTGAGACAATAGATGAAATTTTTATTTCACTTTTTATATAGTCTTTTACGGTATGTATAGTGCAACTGTTTTAGCAGCTTGAAAATATAATTATCATAGAACTACTTATTTTCAATAAAAAAATATTATACATACTCTAAAGTATTGATTTTATTTTATTTTACTTTCATTTAATATTTAATCAAAGAAATTATGAAAATTATTATTAGCAAACTTTCAAAAATCTCAAAATATATTAAATGTTATGTAGTTGATATCTATTATAAAATCACCTATTCAAAAGTTAAAAGGTTATGGTTTAGGTGTTTTCATTAAAAAAAATTACTTTTTTTTATAATCAAGCTATAATAATGGTTTTTACTTGATATAATTCGATTTCATCAATATAAAGATTTTGTGATAATGGAGCATCATTGTTGTATTAATATATTTATTTACAACAATTATCATTTATCAATTAAAAGAATTAAATAATAAATTTAATAAGCAAGTAATAAAGCTTATTACATTGAATAACACTTTAAATTTCAATTATACATTTAAATTATTTAATGCTTATAGGGAAGACAAAATTTTCATAAATTTAATGATAATTTATATTGAGAATGAAATTATTACAACATTTATCATAGACATAATAACTAATGATTTTTATGTCATGAAAAATTAATAAGTGAAACTTAAAAATTATATATATATATATATATATATTTGTTTGTTTTATACATGTAAAATTGAATATAAATATATATGTTGAAACATTTATCTTATGTTGGTAATATATATAATTTTAACTTTTCTTTAATTATCATATATATTTTGTTATCCTGGCCCACCTTAATAAAAATTCTTGGTTTTGCCCCTGTTGCCCGCAAATCTACAAGATCCAATTGCATCTGTGCAAAACTAAACTTGTTCTGGTATCATATATAATACAGAAAGAAATTTTTCATCGCTCTTAAACCTAGAGAGAACTATTGCAACAATAAATCAAAGTAGGTGGGGCTTCTTCACTGATGACCGGAAACATTTGCAGTAAGGCTAATTTTTTTTTTTTAAGGGAAAAAAAACTGAAAGCGATTTACATAAACTACAGAATACTAAAGTCATAAAAACGATGCTTAATCAATTAACTACTTTAGAGGATCTTTCTGCGTTGATCATATAAGTTAAAAAGTGAGTAGAGAAATTCGTATATTTTCTAAGCAGACACGGTGCTGGGAGATTCTTCAACTTTATCCCCACCCCATAAAGAAGGGCATCGCATTCTTTCCTTCTCTTAACATCTTGCATTTGTTTATTCTCTTCCCAGCCCCACTAACCCCACTCAATAATATCATGCTCTAAATGATTACGGCTTGCTATCCAAGAAAAACATGTTCAGCATCTAATCAAAGAGTGCTAAATGTAATTAACAAAATACCAGTTATTTTGAAAATGCTATCAGCATGTTCTTTAAATTTAAAATGGACATCATCAAACGACTTCAAATGATGCAAGAGATCAGTAGATCCTATACTTTTATGAGATCTAGCAAGCTAATGTCACAAGTGCGTCCATTATATTATACTTTATGAAACTTTATCGAAGGCTCTACTCATTACATGTCTGATTTTATCTTGAAAATAAACAAAATCATAGTTTAGGTGAAAAACAATTTTAATAATTTTCAAAACGAAACCTAACACGGTGACGATGTTGAATAAAATATCATGACTCTATATTGAAGAATTTGATGACTTGATCGTTTGTAAGAGCTAGTCATCAGCTATTACATCAAGGGTACGTTTGGTCCCCTAAAAATCTCATATACCACGTAACATTCCCTCTTAGATGCCTCGCTGTTCAACGCCAGCAGATGTGATATTGCAATGCGTTTGTCGATTTGAGTGGACAAAAATCAATTTTGTTCACAAGGTTATATGTCAGAATCTTCAGTTGTGAGAAGCAGATTTCTACCTGATGCCCACGAAAATTAAAATACACTGCAAGTATATGAGTCATAATTGAAGCTAGCAGTAAATCAAGATCAATCTCTTAAAGACTTAATTAAAATGACGACTAGGCATTAAATTTTTAAATCCATTCACGTAAAGCTAATAAAACTTAAGATTGATTTTAGAATAATTAAAATAAAAATATTAAAAATAATCAATTAAAATAACCTTCAAGCCACAAGCAAGCTAGAGCCAACCAAGAGAAGAACATTCTAAAGTCCTAATCTTCTATTTGCTTCCTAACCCTCTCATTACTATATTAATGGTCTTAAAACTCAGTTTTAATAATTTGAGAATTTAAATTAATCCAAAGTATCTTGCTATTACCAAGAATCCTAATTAATTCAATTAAAGCAAAATATTACCTTAACTAATTAGTTGCATTAGATATCCAAATCCATGAATATTACCTAAATCTATTAGATACATTTATGTTCTAATGGCAAATTAGCTAAATTAATCCTAAACTACTAGTTCTTAAAGTTCAATTTTAGTTTTCTCTTTCAAGGTTTAACAATTTGAGTTTCCAAATCTCACTTAGTGGTAGCCAAACACTAAATAAAAACAAGAAAGCTCAAGAATAAGTAATCAAAACAATTATATAAACGGTTAATCAAAGGTTATTTACATAAATAGATTCATAATCCTTTAGAACAAAAAGATTTAGCTATACATAGCTAATATAAACACTGTAACAACAAAGCAAAGTTTGAATCTATCAATATAGAGAAAAAAAAAAGAGAAGAGAAAACACTGATTTAAAATGAGGTAGAATAAATATTTGCTCTACTTCTTCTTGATCCCAAGCTTTAAGATTCTCTCTCTTTCTCTCTTAAGATTTTCTTTTGTTGCAGCAACTAAAAGATTGCTCTTATAGTCCAAAAAAATGAGTTATGTAGGGTATTTTTTCACAAAAAATGAAACTATGCATTTTTTATATTTTCATCTAGCGTATGCGGGAATTTTTGCTTTTATATCTTGGAATCAAAATCACCTTTTTTTTACTCCTTTCTCTTTCTTGCTTTAATGTTTTCATACCCCACCTATCAACAATTAATAAATATGTGTGGAATATTTACCAACTTTAATTTCCATCATTTTAAAAAATTTCCTTAAAAATATTACAATAGATCTACATGAGGCTTTTTTTTATAAAAACAAGAAAATGCTTCTCTTTTTTATTGATGACTCTCAAAATATAATTAAAAATTTGTCAATTATTACACAACATAGGAAGTCTATCAATACCCAAAAAAATAAATTGTGAGAAGCAGATAGAAGCATGTTATACTAAGTGATTGTTTGGTGGTTTGACTAGCAAACGCAGCAGACTATAACATTATAATAGAACATTGTCTCTAACAACTACCAATAAAATCTAAGTCGTAAATTCGCGCTGGCCTGAATGTAAGTTACGATGAATTAGGTTTCAACATAGCTCAATGTTCAACCATATATATAATTTGGGCTTGCTTAGTTTTGGGCTCTGTTTGCCCGGACCCAAAATATATCTTAAAAGATATTTAAAAAGTATGAAAAATAACTTTGTGGGAAAATAACAATATCATCCAAATTATATAAAAAACAATTTAGTTTCTCAAAATATTATAATTTTATTAAAGTCTCCAAAAATTTTGTATCAATAAATTTTAAAGTAAAAAGATTATTTTATCTTTATTGAAAATAACAAATTCCAAATACAACTTTTGTTTAAAGAATAAAAACCTTTGTTTTGTGAATCGCAAAAATTGAACAAGAAATTAAGACTTATCAAGTGTAATTTTTATCTCAAAATAACAAGTTTCAATCACTATTTTTACTTAAGAAATAATTACTTTTGTTATATAAGTCGCAAAAGCTGAACAATAAATCACTTGTCAAGCATATTTTTTGTTATTGAAACCAAACTCTCAAAATGATTAACCTTGATCACAGCTTTTATTTAAAAAATAATAATTTTTATTTAAAAAATTACAAGAATTGATTCACAACTTATTAATAAAAGTAAAATTATTTTTTCAATTTAAAATTTACTGACACAAAAGTCATTAGAGACTTCAATGGAATTATAATATTCTAAAGGACCAAATTATTTATTATATAATTCAAAAAAAAATTATCATCATTTTTCCTAATTTTATTCATTAACTAAAAATGTAATTACCATGAGTTAAAAGGCATCCTTAATACAATTAACATTGTTAT